TTAAGGGCCCGACTCTTGATTTTTGGCTCAAGTCACGAGCTCAGGGGCCTGGGATTGAGCACCTCGGGTTCCATGCTCAGCAGGGAGTCTGCTTGAGATTCTTTCCTGTTGCCCCTCCCTCCATTCATGCTTGCTTATGCTCTCTCTCTAAAATAAAGAAATAAATCTTTTTAAAAAAGTGGTAATTAAAAAAATTAACAAACACTGATTTTCTTGTCAGAAATTTTTAAAAAGCAAGAGCTATTCTACCAGGTTAAAAATGTCAGTTTTGCCTTTTTTTGCCAGTTGCTATTCTAAGTGACAGAGTGGTAAACAGGGCAGATGGAAGTCTTTGCCTTCCTGGAGCTAAGGTTCTAGTCGGGGTAAGAGACAAAAAAATCAGTTAACAAAATTTCAGAGTTATACATTTTACAGAGGAGGTAGGAAGGAAATGTGTATTTCTCTTTTGAGACATTTAACTATGAAGGTAAATGAAAGGGATGGATGAGAGGTCAGGGGGAAGTTGTTTTTAGTTTTGTTGTAATTTTAAAATTATTTTTAAAGATGGACAACATCAGAGCATGTTTGTATGTTGACATGGATGGTGCCTTGGAGGGTTGCTGATGATGCAAAAGAGAGACAAATTCAGGAGTAAGTCCTTGAGTAGGTATTAGAGGGAATATGGAAGGGAGGGAAGCTGGCCTCTCATAGGAAGAAAACATAAAACATGGGCCCTAAGAAAGGTGGATTTCTAGATTTGGTGAGTGGAAGTTGAGTGGTATCTGTCTTATAACTTCTAAACCTCAGTGAAATATGTAGCCTGCTTATCTGCATGGGGAAGGGTGGGCTGCTCATGAGTTTAAAGAGTGGGAAGAAATTATCAAATAGTTATAGGCAAAAATATTAGGAATCTGATCGCTTTCCTGGGCAGTGCTGAGAGTCCACCTCAGATTTCTGGTCATGAATCTGAAGTTCTCTAATATTCAACCACTTATGTGCACTCACGGAAAAACCAGATGAGAGATAAAACAGCTATAAATAGAAAAAAAAATTCCTGGCTAAAAAATAAAATAAAAAAATATGTATCCAAGAGCATATGTATCCATGTCACAGTTACTAACAATGTCCAATCAAGCTGTGGTCTACATAGCTCCATTTGTCTCCACCTTCTCACAACAGAAATTCTTGTAAATAATATATTTGTCATATTTAGTCATGACATATTTAATCATAAAGCTTAAAGATTATTTCTTTTTGGTCATGAATGCTTCTGCTACTTCCTAAGGTAGTTTTTTTCTTTTTAAGATTTTATTTATTTATTTGACAGAGAGAGCGAGAGAGCACAAGCAGAGGGTGTAGCAGAGGGAGAGGGAGAAGCGATGTGGGCTTGATCCCCAGGATGCTGGGATCATGACCTGAGAGGAAGGCAGATGCTTAACCACCTGAGCCACCCAGGCGCCCCCTAAGGTAGATTTTTTAAAATGCACCTGATAGTCTTGTACGTTTCAGAGGTGATTGCATTTCATTGCTTGAAGAAACTTTCTCTGTGGTAACTGAGATCCTAAAACAGAAGATCCTAAAATCTTCCAGAGTGGGAGAGAAACAGGAATGGGGATTAGACTTGGATTGGACTTCTTAATAGCAACACCAGAAGCTAATAGAACAATGCCTTCAAAAGAGGGACACTAATTTTCAATCTAGAATATTCAGCTAAACCACTATTCGATTCACGTGTGGCGGTTAAATGAAGACATTTCCAGGTATGCAACTTCTGAATTCAGGAAGAATGTCAGTTTGTATGTGCCCTGTCTCTGGAAGGTACAATAGAATAAGGAAGACATAGGATCCAAGAAATAAAGGATCCAACACAGGAGGAAGGCAAAAAGAATTCCCAAGATATGACAAAGGGAAGTCCTAGATGACAGGAAGGAAAAAGAAATGAAACAGATTACCTGAAAATATTGAAAGATTATCAGTTCTGTCAGATATTGAGCATGAGTCAGTGACTGGTACAAAGAAAACAAAGCAAATGAAAAACAAAAGAGGCAATTATTTAATTTAGAGAAACAAAAGCACAAGATAGAAAATGTAATACTAGTAGGCTACATGGCTCATCTGTGAATAACAGGTACATTGTCACAGTCATATAAATACTGAATACTGTCTTGACTGGGAACTGTACTTATGTAGGACAACCAAGGCCTCAACATCCAAAATAGAAGTCCACAGATGATGTCCAAAGATGGAAAATCAAGAAATAAGTTTAAACATTAAGAATGAAGTAAATATAAAGGTAAATACCAGAAAGAACTGCTAAGAGTTGAAAGCATTTCAACATTCTGAAACTGATTTTTTACTACTCAATCTAAAAAATGGCAATTTCATATAAGTTAAAACATTATGACATTACTTTATTACTGATTTTATTTTATTTTGTAAACATTTTTTATTTATTTTTGCGAGCATGCAGGGCTGGGGGGGTGGGCAAGAGTGAGCACGCAAGCGCAGGCACGACGCGCAGAGGGAGAAGCAGACTCCCCGCTGAGCAGGGAGCCCAATGCTGGACTCCATCCCAGGACCCTGGGATCATGACCTGAGCCAAAGGCAAATGCTCAAATGACTGAGCCACCCAGGCGCCCTATTACTGATTTTAGAAGAAGCTGCCATTTGAAACAAAACAATTATTGATAGAAAGTGCTCAATAGAAAAAAAGCTCTACTTTTTGTTATCAGACATTTTTGGGGGAATAATATACCGCAGTTTGGGGTAACAAAGTGTTACTTTACATGCTATCACCATCACTGACATAACAGTATTACTATTGCTAATATAAAGAATATCTTTACTACTAAAACGGCATTTAACATAATTTAATCTATTTTCATGATACAGAAATTACTTCAGAATTTTTCTTCAAACATCATACTACAGAAATGCTAAACGATGGGTTGGTAAAGAATCTGATTAACAGAATGCCGAATAAAAAGGCCAGGATGTTTTTAAGTTCCTTTCTTGATACAAACAATAGCTAAGTCACTCTTGCAAAATAAAGTTCCACAATACTGTGTGGTACTATGCAAGCCTGTTTCAGTGATAATTCCGGTTATACTACTCTGTTTATCTAGGACTTCCCCTTATGGTTTGTTTTAAGGGAATTCCTAAAAAAAAAAAAATCTCATGCAGGCAGTTATAAATTATTGGGGTTGCTTCAATATTAGTGACACTAGTTTATGAAGTTAATGAAGCCCTTGTTCTTAAACTTATTTTAAGTTCATTGATACTAAAATTTTATTTAAATTCTTCATCATAAAAACAAAAGTTCTCCAAAGTCAACCTTTACTAATTTTACTTTTACAAAAAAAGAATTTGACCATGCTAACATAAGACTTTTACCAAGAATAATATATTCCTATCCAACCAATGGAAAACTTCCCTTCAAATTAAAAGCAAATGTTTTCAATAGAGGGAATATTCATAAACAGATGCTGTGGAAGACTGCTTAGTTTGGATTTCATTTTGCACTAAAAACTACCAGGAATTAAAATACAGATGATTAAAAAATAATCTTAAAGAGAATCTTAAAACTGAACCAATTCAATTATTCATATCACCCAATAAGATCTTAATTTTTTTACCACTATTTTCAATCAAAAGAGCACAGGAAAAATCTATTTTGAAAATGTGTTTCTTATATACAAGTTTAGCTAATTTCCTCTCTCTCTGCAAAATTATAAGGGTAAAAAAGAAACTGAAAATGCAACCAACAATATTCTAAAACTTATAAGATCTGGTATAAAAAGAGAAAAAGGTCCAAACTATTACAAATGCCTTTTAATTGGTCTGCATCAACTGTAACTCTTCATAACTACCAAGACAACAAAGTCAGGCAGCCCAACCCATGGAACCAAAGTCTGTGGGAACCTGCAGAGCTTCCTTCTCTCTCTGGGGACGAGGACAAGGATAAAAGGTGTTCTGTTTTCCAGTAGTCCTGTAAGAGGAGCCATTGAGCTGGGCCACACAACCAGACAACAGAGCATAGGAAAATTCAGATCAAAGCAAGGACGCATGCCAGGGTAATATGCAATAAAACCCTTTGCCAAAGCACTCAGAAGAAAAAAGTAAGGAGGTGGAGAGAACCTGCTGGACCACCTTCTTAACACAGGGAGACAGGGAGAAACAAAATCTGCTTCTACTGAGGAGCTGAGAAGACAGTGTCCTAGATATGTTGGAGTATTTCTGTAGACGTATATATGAGTAAAGAGACATATTACCAATGAACTAAACCCAGAACGCAGTGTCCTATATGTTCTGGAGTATTCCCATACACATAATATAGGAGTATATTACCATTACCTAAACCCAAAAAGCAAAGTGTTCTAGGTATACAGATATATGAGAATATTAATTTTCAATGAACATATAAAAATATTCATTTTCAATTAACAAAACGCACTGGTTTTACAGTGAGAAACATAAAATATTTGAAAGAATATCAGAGACAGAATTGGGTGAAGTTCTAATGAATTAATATCTCTTTTTCTTCATACCCTTTTTAATCTCTGATTCTCTCATTTCATAGGGGACACGGAGGACGGACGGACGGACGGGCGGACACACACACACACACACACACACACACACACAAAATTAGGTCTCCGGAAACAAAGGAGGGTCCTTAATTGTCCGGCCTGTGGAAGCACACACGCCCCCCACCCAGATAGGGGCCACCACCTGACTTTAATTAATGAGTAAGATGAGGCGAGAGGTCTCACCCCAGCCCACAGCCATGCACAACAGTGACAAACGGGCACGAGACAAACGCCACAAAGAAAGGGGAGGGGCAGGTGGGGACCAGGAAAAACACTGCCACGCCGCACCCCCCAAGGCGCGTTCCCATGGCCAGCGCGGAGGCAGCCGTCCTCGCCATCCTCGTCCTCGCCTCCCGGCTCATCCAAGCCGCCTCCCCAGCCCGGGGACCGACGCCGGGCACGGGCTAGCGGGGCGTGCGGGGCGCCGCGAACCTTCCCTCTGTGACCTCCCGGTGACAGACAGCCTCGCGCCGCCCTTTGTGCGGGACTCAGCCTCCGGCTCCGGTGGACCCCCCCCTCCGCGTCCCTCCCGGCCTGGGCCGCTGTCCCACCCTTCCCCGTCCCCGCCGAAACGCCCGGGAGTGTGAATGGGGGAGGCTGGCGCGGGCCCGCGGTCTCCTCAGCATCCCGAACCCCGAGCCGCCCGGTCCCCTAAGCCCCGGCCCCGGGGCGACGGCCCCCGGTGCCCTGCCCTCGCTCCCTCACTTACTCGGGCGCGCCGGCTGCGGCGGCGGGTATGCGGGACCGTCAGCGCGAGGCGGCAGGAGGAAGGCTGCAGGCGGCGAGCGACCGTCGGCACCAAGCGCAGCTGAGGTGGCGGCGGCAGACTGCGCGCGGCGGCCCCCGACGAGGGGCGGGCCCGACGGGGGAGGGGCGGGCGCCGCGCCTCTCATTCATGCAGCGGGGGCGGGGTGAGGGACCCGGATGCCCGGGCAGCTCCCGCCCACCTCGCTGAGGGCGCCTTGGCTTCAGAGTATGCAGTGCGCAGGCGCGGCGCTCGGTGGCCTGTCCTGGTTCCGCCCCGCCGCCTGAGGGGGGCATTTCCACGGGCGGGGCTGCCGCAGATAGACCGATTCCCTCATCTGTTTAGTATTTTTGCGTGTTCTATAAACATTTTTTAAGGTGAAAGTTTGGGACGCCACCTCCTTCCTAGCATCCAGCCTCCCAATCTCCGAGGGCACGGGAATGCCCATTAGTTAGATGGAAAGACAGTACACGCCGCCCCCTTCCTCCATTTGTCTCTCCTGCAGCAGGTCCTCTCCGCTGAATGCTGGGACCATAGTGGTAGATGAGACCCAGAATCTGCCCAGGTAGTGGAGAGAAGCGTGTGCAAGAAAGAGTGCATTACATTGTTTATTTGCATTGACCTGGTCCCCTCAGCCCCCAGCTCTCATTCCACAGGGCAGGCAAGAAATTGACCATGGTTTTGAAGAGGGCCCAGACCTTTCTGTAAAATCAAGGCCTGGCGTGTTGCAGCTCCAAGGATCTGTGAAGGCCTCTCGTCTTTGGTAGACGGTGTACTCTGTGGAGACACCCTCCTTTCTTAGCCCCTTGGCGCTGCCACTCCTGGGCCACAGAAATCTTTGGGGATGCTGGGAGCCTGTAGGAGGCCTCACAGACTTCCCCTCTGAGGTTCCTCAGCTGAGTGTGAGGGTACAGCTCAGTCCCCATGTTCCCTTCTGAGGTTCTCCTTCCTTTTCCTATCTTCCAGCCTTCCCTCACATAAACCATAAGCAACTCAGTGGCTTAACTTTGGGAAGCAAATTCATCATGACAAGTACCTATAGACAAATTCCCTCTGCTTTGCAAGCCATAAGCTTCCAAGGCAAGGGGGAAGTAAAGACAAAAACATCAGTGAATATCTCAAGAAGTTACCCAGCAGTTACAGTCCCCCAAGGTGAGAGATGGTTGGAGGCATGTGCTCTGTAGAGTGTGACAAAAGGAAGGATGGGGGAGGCCCATTCTTCCTTTAAAGCTGCCTATCAACACCTACCCCTTGCCCTTCAAGCCAAGAACCTCAGGGGCCCTTTCCTTCTCTCACTTCCCTTCTAGCTCTCAAAGGGAGTTGTCACCAGAAAGACCTTCCCAACTCTGGTTTGCTGATACCTGTCACTCTGTCTAAACCAGGCCTCCTCGTCTCTCTCCTGGCCTATTGATTCCCATGCAAATCAATTCTCAGGATATGCAGATCTGCCCATGTCACTGTCTTTTTCTAAAGTGACCCACTTGACCTTTACTTTCCAGTCATTTCCAGAGCAACACCACAATGTTTCACCCTCAGTGCCTGTGTTCTTGATGTTTTCTTTACTAGGAAAGCAAAACTTATCTAGGAACACTCAAGAGTCACTTTTTAATGAAGTCTTCCTTCCTTTCTCCACCTTGTTGACAGACTTTCTTTTGGAATCCTCCTGGGTCCTGTACCCAAGTCCCTGTGAGCCCCAGGCATACTTAGGATTCATACCCATTTGTTGGTATTTTACTCCCCCGCCAGAATGTGAGCCCTTCAACAATGGGAACAATGTCTCCTCAAGACCTAGCAGGTGATTGGCAAAACAATTAGGAAGCAGTGGTTGTTGGGAGAGGTGATATTCCCTGGGAGGCCAGGGAGGTTCCACAGGGGTGAGAAGAGCTGAACTCTCTTTTCTTTCTCTTCCCTTCTTGTGGCTTCCTTTACCCTCAATGTGTTAGGAAACCTGTTTTGTTTGTTTAAAAAGCTTGGCTAGAAATTCTCTAGTCCAAGCTGGTTGTAGGGTAGAGAGTGGAGTGGCTTTAGCTTCATGTCCTTTGTCCTTATGAAACTCAGGAGAGAGAGAGAGAGAGAGAGAGTAGATTGTTCCTTGTTCCTCTTGGGAGAGAAGTCAGATTTTTTGGTCTCCTGGTGTCTCCAGCTGGAGTTCACAAGCTGATCCATGATCCTATCTGTCTAGTTATACAGAAGGTTCTACTTCCCTCTTAGTATACCCAACTGCCCCCACCTAGGCAAAATGCATGTGCGGTGGAGTGTGGGTACATTTAGAGAGATCTGGGCAGTTTAGGTGAGCACCCCCAAACAGCAGACATCCAGGACTTGAAGTAGTGGCTTTCTCAGCTAACATGGGCTCTTGTTCCTTGTGATGGAGGAGTGGGAAAGCCTTCACTGTTTAGGGCCTCAGAGGATCTCTCTCTCTATTTTCTCTCCCCTCAAACCTCTCTCATCCTCTTCCTACATTATACTTCTTTTAAAGCATTTGCCTCACTCTAACCCATTACTCAGAAAACCACCCTTACCTGCATGGCAGAAGTCTTTCAAGACCCTTCTACCCTCTGGAAAATAAATGACATCTAATTTTAAATCAAATGGTAGTGACCAATTTTGGAAGGCAGCTATGCTCACCACTATACCACCAACGCTGGCTTAGGTAGTGACCAATTTTGGAACAGCAACTTTCTGGATGGTAACTGTAGTGGGAGCAAGGGCTGCTTTTAGTCATCTTGGATCTGGTGCTCAATAAGAGTTTGTTGAATGACTGTATGGCCAATGAAGGCAAAATCAGTGTTTCTAAGAGAAGCTAGAAATCAAAGGTTGTCCTCAGCCCAATCCCTCTGCCCATCCTCTCCTCCTGGTGAGAACTATCCATCTGTTAAGTGGTGGGCACAATCCCAGAAAAACATTCCTCATATTGGCCAATGATTTGGATGCTTAGTTATCTAGACCTCTGGATGACCCTTTCAAGGGTCAACCAGTCAACGCTTTGACCCTTTGGACTGGGTCAGCAGAGGAATCTCACTATTTCTGTGAGAACCTGAGGTGTGTTCCTCTGTTCTCTGAACCCCTTCATTTGAGAATTCCAGTCTTCTCCTGGGCCTCCTCCTACAAGAACCCTCCCAATAGCCCATGTGGACCTCTAGATGGGGTGTGACCCTGCCCATAGAGGCCTGAATTGCTCCTTGATGCAGGATGTGTGTATACAATTGTGAAACAGTGCAAATGTGGGAGGAAGTGTAGGTTTCTATGTGCATGGTGGCTTTGGGTAAGACTGTGTCCACCCTCAGAAACAGAAGGCAGGGATTCTGTCCTCAGCCACCAGCAATCCATACTGCCTTTCTGGCACCCACAGGCCCAATCACCCAAACAGAACTCAGAGCCCTGAAAATATAAATGCGCTCAGGATCCCATGTCAGAGTTAGCTGAGACCAGCTGCAGATGGAGAGAATGGGAGCACAACTTCCCAGGGGTGGTGCAGCCTGCTCAGACTAACCATCGCATTGGAGTACACCTGTCTTAGTGTGGATTCTCCCAAAAAGAGGCCCAAGACAAGTGCTGGAATGCAGGTGATAGTGGAAACAGGAGTGAAGAAATGGGAAAGCAAGATAGAGAAGGGAGAAAAGCCAATCCGAAGGGGTGTTGATGAGCCAGTTACTGCCATGGGCACCTCAGAGAAACCTGGTGGAACAGTCTCAACACTGTCCTCCCAAATGATGAGGAGGCTGGGGTATTTACCTTATGATTTCCATCTCCCTGTTGCTTCTAAATGACCATCAGGGAACCTTCAAGTTATGGCTGTGCAGCAAGGCAAGCTACCTAGCTCAGCTCCTCCTCCCTCTACCACTACAACCACCATTAGAAACCCCCCACCCCCCCACCACAATTCCTGCCCCTCTTGAGTTCTCTCACCCAATTGTGTCATTACCTTTTCTCTTTGTTCTTAGGTCTGAGCTTGTAAGAGGAAGTGAAGTGGGGTGATATCTTTGCCCACAAACCGTTCTAAGGAAAAGGAACTATAGTGGTTCTTCCCCCATTTGAACCTATCCAATCTACCCAAATAGCTCTCCGCCATCATCACCTCGTCCCAAAGCAAGGCACAGGAAAGAGAGAGAGAGAGAGAGCAAAAAAGCAGGCAGGCTTTCTGGAATGACTTCTGGCATCCCAGAGTCATAGAAGCAGAGCTAGAAGAATGAACCCTCTCCTTAGAAAGATGAGCCCCCTGTTTTGTTTCTCCTTTTGCTTCTCCTGCTATTGCAGCACCTCCTCTAAGCAGGCTTCCCTGGTTTGTCTTGGCTTTCCGCCCTTCTAACCCACATGATTGTAACTGGGACTCAGTCCTTCATGCCCTCTGAAGGCTCTGAGGCAGGCAAAGACCATGACTGGGGGAAGAGCCTTGAACTCTGTAGTGGAGTGTGTCCTCCACCATGAGACACAGCTTCCATCACAGACCTCTGGCTCCCTTACCTAGCGTTCTCACTCGCCTGTCTGTCATCCAAAGGAGCATACCGGGAGAACAATGCTGGGAGGCAATGTGTTTCTAATACCACCAGAGGCTTCTTTCTTCCCTCCCCCTCCCCAGTTAAAATGGTGAAACGAACCCGCACATCTACTTTTGCTCCTTCCTGAAAGCCACTAAAACTATTCTAAAGGGATTGTTTTTTTATTCTTTATTTATTTTTAAAGATTTTATTTATCTTCTTGATAGAGACACAGCAAGAGAGGGAGCACAAGCAGGGGGAGTGGGAGAGGGAGAAGCAGGCCCCCTGCGGAGCAGGGAGCCCGATGCAGGGCTCAATCCCAGGACGCTGGGATCATGACCCGAGCTGAAGGCAGAAGCTTAATGAGTGAGCCACCCAGGTGCCCCAAGAGATTGTTTTTTTAAAAAAGACACAAATTCACAAGGACAGAGAGGATA